AAGCAGATGGAAAGATATGGAGATAATCAAACGAATCTGGTATACCGTGTAAACTGGCCGCTGCTCTCCCCGGAGAAGGAGAGCAGCGCCAAAACCCTAATTTCTCTATCTCTGCGCCTCTATTCTCTAAAGTCTCGATCGTTGGTTAGGGTTCCCGTAAGTTAGCCTCCTTTTATAGGAGAAATTGGTTAACTTACGGGTTACAAGGAAGCTAACGGGCTGATACACATTTGTGGCCCGTATTACACGTTTAATTAATAACTGCACAAATACAAAGATATTTAATTAGATTGGACACCATAAAATATTCCTAACAATCTCCCCCTTGGTGTTCAATCGCGTTGAATCAGCGTTGCAGCGCAGATATCTTTGTCTTTGTTGTTATTCAGCTTCCTTTGTCTTTGAACTTTGACTTCTAAGGAAGGCTTTCTGAAGAAATCCTTGCAATCTCCCCTTTGATGTCTTCTTGGCAATTTGTTCTTTGATGCCGGGGGTTGAAGGATCTTCAGTATCATGCATGTAGTCCTTGCCTTCCAGAAGTTGCTCTTGATCAGCTTGGATGAAGTCCGGTGACACCTCTAGAATGAATATTCTTTGAAGAATAGGGGGGGCGCACGAGATTCATCTTCACTACATGAGTATTTGACCTATGTCTCCTCCAAAATGTAGTCTTTTTGACTGTTTGGAATGAATGCATTTGAGGAGAACTTGTCGGTGGCACAGCGGAACATAATGATGGTTGACTTGTGAGCGTAGCTGACCATTTGAGTTGCGGAGATAGTAGAGAGAGAGTTGGAGGAGAGAAATGTCCCAGAATGATTTTTCTTTTGATAGTTAACAGCATGTGGACCACTCTCCCCCTCATGAAAATCCGATGAATCGGGCCGTCATGCCTTTATTCATTTATTCTTGAACTGAAAAGAAACAGAAAAACAAACAGAAAATAAAATGATAACGTGGCCCCCCAGGGTCATGAAGACGCCCGTTTTCATCACTATAGAGATAAACTCTAAAGCAATGGCCTGAGAATGTTGGTGATTCTTATGTTGCAACAGCAGGACTTCCTTCCAATCATTGGTCTACATCTGTAATAGATGAGCCATATGGAAGTTCTCACGGGTCATGATGACCTGCAACTGACTCTAAAAGTGCGTCGGTGTCCTAGAAATTTCAAAACATTTGGGAGTGAGGTTACTAGACATGACATGATCAATGAAAGTTCAGTGGGATGGGGCTGAGGCCACTGTAGTCAGTATCACTTGCCTCGTAAGGAGATAGTAATGAGAGATGCGGTTCCCCGTGAAATATGATTAAGCACATGTCTGTTGGGAGACAAGTGAGTGGTCTTGGGTAGGGTTGTGCATGCGCCGTTTGGACAAAATGCAGCGACTTCTACCCGGGAACTAAATAAATTCAGTCCTGAACCTATGGGGACAGTCCAGAGTATTTGAGTGGCTAGGAGTAAATGTTCATGTAACGCCCCTCTCAGGGTTAAAGGAAACGTTACATAAACTTACTACTATATAAAAAAACTGCAATATAACGGCCGTTTGTTTAAGAAATAACCCTGATAAAAATCTCAAATACAACAAAATTATAGCTCCAAATAAATACTCAAAAATCTAGTTATCACCGGCAAATGTGATAACCACCTGGATCCAGGAATTGATTCAAACTTCAATCCTTAAATAAAATAAAGTAATAATTATCTTTTTATTTTAACAACTGAAATACTGGAGTAAAATAAAAAGCTAGCTAGAAGCCGCCAAGGTCGTTCCCGTTAACTCATCTTGGCACACATTCCACTCCCTCATCATCTTCCTAGGCCTTGGCCTTACCCTTAGTATCTGTACATGCGAAGAAAGAAAACTGATAAGCTTTACGCTTAGTAAGTCACTATGAATCCACAAAAATATCTGAGAAGTCTATGCTAATTTATCAATAGATAAATTTAGGCTATAAGCATGCACTAAACAGACAACTAACAAATAGCTTCTCAAATAAATTCTGGGAGAGATCCCCAAAAGAAAATATTTTCAAAAAAATAATTTCTCAAAACTACTGGAGAGATCTCAAAATTTCTTTCACAAAACATCTCTTAAAACTTTTTGAAAGAGATCTCAAAATTTTACTGTAAAACTCTTTGTGGCTAATATTAACTGTGGGCCCGTGATATGTACTCAAAGGCGCCAATCCGACAGCTCAGGGGAGCGACCCACTAAACATATCGGACTCTCTGAAACTGATAAACTGATAATCTGAGGGAACTTGTTCCCGAGTACATATCACCTGATCTTTCACTTTAAATATTAGTTCTTTTTATGGTGATGTTTGAATAAAAACAACATTAAAATCTTGAAATAAAGTACTGATAAAATCTTAACTATGCTAGATAATAAACATATCTTAATACAACAATTACAATAACTCATCAAATAATTCACCAAGCTCACATAATAGCAAATAGTCTAAAATCATCTACTAAAAATCAACCAGACTTCTTTCTTTCATTTGGTTGAACAAACATGTACAGGTGGTAGTGAACTTACCTGTTAACGGCTGAACTCAAATTACTCAAATAAGTGTGGCACCTCGGTAACGTCTTCCGCTAAGCTCTTCTCTTAAATCTTTAGTTAAATTTAACGATATAATTAGAGTTGGTTACATCTTAAATTAAAGAGGACAACCAAAACTTATAACTTGAATTGTCTCGTTGACACAGAAAACTAAGGAAAACACCATCTTTAAACTTGAAGATTTTTTTTTATGCCGCAGCTCACCAAAAAAAATTAATGACTTAAACAATTAGACAAACTCATGCTGGAACACCCAAATTTATCACTTACAAAACAATTCCATAACTTAAATTGACACGGTTCAATTATTTTTGTAGAAGAAGACTGCTCAAATAGAAGTTTCATATCAGGAATTTTACACTAAATCTGTAATCCAAAAGGTTATTATACAGAAATGCGACTGGAGAAAAAAAAACTAACAAACTTTACCTGATGTGAGGAGAGAACAAACGGTAAGACCAGGTATCTAGATATCAATTTGGAGCAGTGGGATAAACTTTCAGAGAACGGAAGCAAAACAGTAGACCGTTGCGGAAGAAAGAATGCACATGTGCTCTGAAAATTTTTCTTAGGGTTGCTATACAATACGTATCCCTCTAATGGACTTTGGGGCTTGTAATTAAAATGCTTATTTGGCCAAAATAACTCATTTGGTCCATTTTAATAATATGTTTCCGGCCCAACCACAAAAAAAAACGAAATTAACCTTTCTAAAAAAACTGATTAAGCTTTAAAACATCACTTATTTCTTCACTTAAAATTATTAGAGTTTACCGGTCAACGTTACCTGCCAGAACAACACGTGATCAAACAATAAATCACATTAGTCATTGAAGAAACTTATTTAACGACTAAAATAAATATTAATATTGATTAATATAACTAGCTCAAAAAAAATCGGGGTGTCACAACCCCTCCCACCTTATAAAAGTTTCGTCCTCGAAACTTAGAACAACTCCGGATAACGACGTCTCATGTCGTCCTCCACTTCCCAAGTAGCTTCTTCAACTTTGTGATTCCGCCACAACACCTTCACTAGAGCTATCTCTTTATTCCGGAGACGTCTAACCTCACGATCAAGAATTTGTACTGGCTTCTCCTCGTAAGACAAATCATTTTGCACTTCTACTGTGGGGGGTACTAAAACATGCTCCGGATCAGCAAAGTATTTCCTCAACATCGAAACATGAAAGACATTATGAATGCCAGAGAACTCTTCTGGTAGCGCGAGCTCATAAGCTACCTTCCCAACTTGTCTAGTGATCTCATATGGTCCGGTGAATCTGGGGCTAAGCTTTCCTTTCTTTCCAAACCGCATCACACCCTTCATCGGGGCTATCTTCACAAAAACAAAATCCCCCACTTCGAATTCCAGAGGTCTCCTCCGAACATCTGCATAACTTTTTTGTCTACACTGGGCAGATTCTATCCTTTGTCTGATTGTCTTAATAGCTTCTGAGGTCTCATCTATCAACTCAGTCCTTCCTTGTAACTCCTCTTCTAGAATCTTCTTTTCTCCCGTTTCATACCATGATATGGGAGATCTACACCTTCTCCCATACAATGCCTCATATGGAGCCATGCCGATGGTTGCTTGATAACTATTATTATAAGCAAATTCCGCCAAACTAAGGTATTTAGCCCATCCTCCTTGAAAATCAAGAGCGCATGCCCGTAACATATCCTCTAAAATCTGATTTGTCCTCTCCGTCTGGCCATCTGTCTGAGGATGAAAAGCAGTACTAAACTTCAACTTCGTGCCCAATGATTGTTGTACACACTTCCAAAAGTGAGACGTAAATCTGGAATCTCTGTCTGAAATAATACTCTTCGGAACACCATGCAATCTAACAATCTCCTGTATATATATTTTTGCCAACTTCTCCAAAGAAATACTTGCTGAAATTGGGATAAAATGAGCAGATTTAGTCAATCTGTCCACTATAACCCATATAGCGTCATAACCTCCAGTTGTCTTCGGCAAACCCATAATAAAATCCATTGATATCTCATCCCATTTCCACTCTGGAATCTGGATAGGCTGAAGTTCTCCACCTGGTCTTTGATGTTCAGCCTTAACTTGTTGACACGTCAAACATGCCTGAACGAACTTTGCAACATCTTTCTTCATCCCTGACCACCAAAAGTTTTCCTTCAAGTCGTGGTACATCTTGGTCGAACCAGGATGCATAGTGAATGGTGTCTCATGAGCCTCCTTCATAATCTGCTTCCTCAACCCCTCGATGTCCGGGATGCACAACCTGTTTTGGAGTAATAATCTCCCATTCTCATCCAAACGAAACTCAGGACATTTTCCCTCCTTGACGCACTCCTTCAACTTAACTAACTCGGGATCAAGTTCTTGCTTCATAGCCATGTCCTCAAATATTGATGGAGTCACTGTCATAGCTGCTAGTCGCCCACCTACAATCTCCAACTCAAAATCTTCAATTTCCTTCCTCAGCCTTGGATCCATTACCATCATGGACATTACTGTTGCAGAAGACTTCCTACTAAGTGCATCTGCTACCTTGTTGGCTTTCCCCGGATGATAAAGGATCTCACAATCATAGTCTTTCACTAGCTCAAGCCACCTTCTTTGCCTCATGTTGAGGTCCTTCTGTGTGAATATGTATTTCAGACTTTTGTGATCAGTGAAGATCTTGCACTGGACTCCATACAAGTAATGTCTCCAAATCTTCAACGCATGTATCACTGCTGCCAACTCCAAGTCATGCGTAGGATAATTCGCTTCATAGTCTTTGAGTTGCCGAGACGCATAAGCAATAACTCGTTCATTCTGCATAAGAACTGCTCCAAGTCTTTGAGTGGCCAAAATAACTCATTTGGTTCATTTTAATAATATGTTTCCGGCCCAACCACAAAAAAAAAACGAAATTAACCTTTCTAAAAAAACTGATTAAGCTTTAAAACATCACTTATTTCTTCACTTAAAATTTTTAGAGTTTACCGGTCAACGTTACCTGCCAGAACAACACGTGATCAAACAATAAATCACATTAGTCATTGAAGAAACTTATTTAACGACTAAAATAAATATTAATATTGATTAATATAACTAGCTCAAAAAAAATCGGGGTGTCACAGTTCAATGGATAGTAGGCAGTTGAGGTAGCAGACTTATCAGTGATAATTGTTTCCTTGCTCACTTGAGCCTTCTGCTTCCTAATGCTCATAATGTTCACTCACTCACTTGCTCACTCACTCACTTACGCTCGGCTTTGTCCCTTGGGTAGGCTTAGTTGGGTTTACTAAGCCATAGGGACATGTTCTCTTATTACTTTTTTTCATTTTCTCTCTGTACTCCCCCTCAACTGGAGCACTCAGTATGTTTTGTCATTGTTAGGCACCGGGGAGGACAACTTTGAACACTCCCCCTAGAATGTTGCATCCGTTGAGAGGTTCCTTGCTTTGTCGATGTAAGGCGCCAGGAGGAGAAAACTGAAACTCCTCCTCATAATGTGCAAGGTCTAATTGATCACAGCTCGTCATACCCGCCATGTGTGTGGAGGAATCTGAACAAGTACCACACATGACGATTTCCCTAAGCTCATCATTTGGAAATTCAGCATGTTTGAGGATTATACAATGTTGATGAGTTAGGGGAGGCTTCAGTAGTTGATTGTTGATTGCTGTAAGATGGCCGTTGACGCGAGGTTGATTGAATTATCTACGATTTTCGGACCTCTACGGTGCAGCTTAGACCTTAGGTTAGACTTTGAAAGAATTTGATCATATTTGCCTAAGTTTTGACCTGGACATCGGTGATTTACAAAGTTTGTCGGAAAACTGACGTTTTGACCCTCAAGGACTGTGAGTGAGGGCGCGTGAGAAAGGTTTCTGGGTCATATCCCGAGAATTAATGTAGATCTTTTTGTTAGCTTTCCAACAAAAAAAGTTTGCTCAAATGGGATCACCGAGTCAAAAGTTATGGCCAAAACACTGCGGTGTCGCAGAAAATCTCGAATTTTTGAGTTTTTGAGGAATTTCTTCAAAGTTGAGGTTCTCGATGTAGAATATCGAAATCAGGTGGAATTAGAGAAAATTCTAAGGCAAAACCTCGAAATCCTAATCTCGAGGTTTAAATCTCGATATTACAATCTCGAGTTTTAAATCTCGAGATTCAATCTCGAGGTTTAAATCTCGAGAACACAATCTCGAGGTTTAAATCTCGAGAACACAATCTCGAGGTTCAAATCTCGAGATTACAATCTCGAGGTTCAAATCTCGAGATTCCAATCTCGGGGTTTAAATCTAGAGATTACCATCTCAAAGTATAAATCTCGAGATTACAATCTGGAGTTTTAAATCTTGAGATTACAATCTCGAGGTATAAATCTCAATATTACAATCTCGAGTTTTAAATCTCGAGATTACAATCTCGAGGTTTAAATCTCGAGATTACAATCTCGAGATTTAAATCTCAAGATTACAATTTTGAGGTTTAAATCTTGAGATCTTAATATCGAGTTTGCCTCAAAGAATAATGACGAATTCCACCTGCAAAACAAACCTACAGTCTTCGAAATCTTCAGAATTTCAAAATGTTGGGAACATCGAAAACTTTGGAGTTTCGAAAACCTCAGAAAATCGAAAACTTGCTGTTTGAAAAACATCAGAACATCGAAAACTTCTAAAAACTTTGAAAAACACAGATTCATCCAAAAATCCTATAATATAAAGCTTCGAAGTGTTCTGAACAAGAAAGATATCAAGTTTAGAAGATCTCGAAATTCAAAAAACTCCAAATGTCGAGAAACTCCTAAGCATGTCGAGAAATTTTGAAAATCTCGAAATCTAAAGAATGTCGAGATCCTAAGCATCGAGATCCCAAATGTCGAAATCCCAAAACTCGAAATTCCAAAACTTGAGGTTTCAAAACTCGAGATGTCAAAACTCGAAATTTCAAAAACTTGAAATTTCAAAACTCGAGATTTCAAAAACTCGAGATTTCAAAAACTCGAGATTTCAAAACTCGAGATGAGGAATTCGAAGCCCTAAATGTCGAGATCCTGCAAAATAAAAACTTCGATTTTTGAAAATCTGAAACCTGTTCTGAATAGCCCTGAAGGTCGAGATTCTTCTGTATCAGTTTCAAGTCAAAAACGTTTCTGCAACCATGAAAAACAAGAATCTCGAGATCTCAAATGTTGAGATCTTCGAAATTGAAAAATTGCAGAAATCGAAAACAGAGATATGCTACTGGATCGGTTTTGAAAGGCGATTCCAACAGTATAATTTTTACAGATTTTTGTTCACAAACAAGATAACAGGAGCAAATCTCTATATCAAAGAAAAAGAGAAGAAAAGCAGAGCAGTTCTTCGTAAGATCAGAAAAATCGCAGATAGATTCAACCTGTTTCAAGCCTCGGCTCTGATACCAACTGATAAACCCAATATATAACAATCAAACAATCTAAGCAGTTAAAGAAAAAGCAGATAGAAAGATATGGAGATAATCAAACGAATCTGGTATACCGTGTAAACTGGCCGCTGCTCTCCCCGGAGAAGGAGAGCAGCGCCAAAACCCTAATTTCTCTATCTCTGCGCCTCTATTCTCTAAAGCCTCGATCGTTGGTTAGGGTTCCCGTAAGTTAGCCTCCTTTTATAGGAGAAGTTGGCTAACTTACGGGTTACAAGGAAGCTAACGGGCTGATACTGATGCACACTAATTAGTAGTGCATAATTGTATGTTTTTATGATTCATTGATGGTGATTGTGGATGCTTTATATTGTGGTAAAAACACTCTTGGATGTTTTGTATTGATATTCTTGTCATTTAGGACTTCTTGGATTTGATTTGATTTACTCGAGACGAGTAAAGGTTTAAGTGTGAGGGTGTTTGATGCACACTAATTAGTAGTGCATAATTGTATATGTTTTTATGATTCATTGATGGTGATTGTTTGACGTTTTATTTGGTTTGTAAACATTTGTGTGATTTTAGTTGTAATTGTATTTTAGTTCTCATTTGTAAGTTATAAAGTAGAATTAGGAATTAGGATGTTGGAAAGGAGGATGTTGAAGTGAAGAAAAGGGAATTTTAACTGTCCAGGAGCAAATACCCGACCGGGTAGGAAACTTCACCCGGTCGGGTCTGATTTGAAAACCGAAGCACTGAGGAAAGAGTTGGGCCCGGTCGAGCCCCATACCTCACCCGGTCGGGCGAGAAGTGACCGTGGACAACCCGGTGTGCGAAGATCACCAGAACGTGGGGAAATATATGATTTTGACCGGACCCGGTCGGGTGAGTACTTGACCCGGTCGGGTACCCGGCCAAAGGTGTTGAAAAACACCTATAAATAGCACTCTTTTTCTTCTCTAAAAATCATCCCTTCTTCCATACTCCTAAGCTCAGTTTAGAATAGCATTTCTTTCTATTTTTCTAACTATGTTTAGTCTCCAAATGAGGAGCTAAAGTTCCATTCTTGGTGTTGCTCTTGAAGCTTGTTGATTATTAAAGTTGTGAGTTATTTTCTTAACTTCTTTCCTTGAATATTAATTAATAGTTCTTTCCTTAATACCATCTCTATATTCATGTTGGGGAGTGTTGCTAAGATGACAATTAGTTAACATCTCGACATTAGTTAGAATGGTATTTTCTTCCTCTATATTAATGTTGGGAGTGATGCTAAGATGACAATTAGTTAACATCTTGATATTAATTAGAGTAGGATTCATTTTCTTTAATAATATTCTTCCTTGAATATTAATTAATTCCTACTCATATTTCATATTAATATTTTGAACATTACTTAAAGGATCAACTAGTTTTGTTTCATATATTAATTATTACTAGAAACGATCAACGAACCGATGGTTAATCGTTGATGGTTTCACAAGTAAGTAACTTCGGTTTATTAATGCACGGTCGTGGTTAATAAACTTAAGAGGGATTAATTTTGTTGGTTAAACCGAAACCGTTGTATCGAGGTTATCAATCTCAATTGATTTCATCAAGAAGTTAGAAAGATTAAATGCTACTATTAAATCGGTATAAGGCACCGTGACAAAGTGCTCGTCAAATTTGGCGCCGTTGCCGGGGAAAGGCAATTATTTTTCTTTTTATTTTATTTCAAGAAAAATCAAAAAAAAAATTATATAAAAGATTTCTATTTTGCTGAGCTTTGTTTGAGTATATGGTTAAACACCGATCTATAAACCAAATCACCTACCAAACAAAGCCCGAAACAGAACAAGCCTTCGAGAGGTTCAGGAATCTATTTCCGAATACTTTTTCGGAAGAATCATCAAGTGCTAGTTCTCATTCTAGCGAATCCGAAGAGTCCTTCCACATGGCTCTGGAAACAAGAACGCTGAGGGAGCTCACGGCTCCGAATCTAAATCAACAACCCTTATGTATCACTTTTCCAACTCTTGATACGGGGGTCACATTCGAGCTAAAATCTGGGCTCGTTCACCTACTTCCTTCTTTCCATGGCCTACGAGGGGAAGATCCAAATAAACACTTGTCAGAGTTCCATATTGTGTGCACAAGCATGTGCCCCAATGGCGTGTCTGAGGAGCAAATTAAGTTGAGAGCCTTCCCATTCTCCCTCAAAGACACCGCCAAAGATTGGCTATTCTATCTTC